CAACATGAATATCTCTAGAACATCTGAACACACTTCAGACCTCTGACCATACTGGCCACATTTGAAGAAAACTAAATGGAGACCTTCGTATTCCAACCTCCAAATCCTTCTTCACATAAGAAATTTAGAGATGAGAGGCTTTGGTAAGTCAATTTTCACACTTATACGAGAAGATTTTGCTCTAGTATAGCAGACAATTCAATAGACACGAACAGGACGCCCAACGTGAGAATGTCTTGAGAACTCTTTACCTATACGCGTGAGAATGTCTTTGTTGCAGTATTCCAAAAACAGCTTGAGAACTCTTACCTAGACCACCGCTTTGTCAATTTTGACTTCATCAGGATCAAAATTTGACCTTAATTCTTGAACAACTAGTATGTTGGTCAGCAACCATCCAAGGACCACCAAGAACAGAACGATCACCATCTTCAGTGTAGAATTTGGGAAGATAAAACTCATTCCAAAGTCTGCTATCACAAACCCTTCCTTCAATTTCAATGACTGCCCACCAAAGAGCGATAACCCACTTTATGCCCTAGAACTTTAACTATTAGGATTTTCACCCAAGGTTTTCCGAGCCTACGTTTACCTAGAGCCGAAAGACAAATCGTTGAACAATCATCTTCATCTTCCGAATCTGAATCACCCTCAGAGACCAAATCATCAACTTGCTCCATCTTTTTCATGGAAGCACACCCACCAAGGTCTCCTTGTAAGATACTTTAAGCTTACAATCATCATTAGCAGCAGGAGGCACATATAGTCCTCGTGCATATAGTCCCCACCATCGTGCACTAAAAACTCGTCACTGGGATGTTAATTTACCGTCAGCAAGTTTAACCTTCTTGTTACTACACACCAACAAATCCGTTAGGAACTATGGAGAGAACTATGAGATTATAATATTAATTTGCTGAAGTAAATAAGATTTCCATTAAAAAATAATTGAGTAACTAGTTTACTGGTTGAGAACTAATAGATTGGATAGAATAAATTAAATGGGTGAATCAGTTCAGTCAGCAGAATGCAATTCAATACATGTTTAAATTAAAAAAAAATTATATCAATTTAATTTCTTAATTATCTAGAATTTTATGTCTATAAAAAAAATTATAATGTAACATTATGAAGCAGCACAAGAGAGAGAATAATTAAGAGTATTTAAAAAAAAAACGCTTAATAAAATATTCTTCTCAATCTTCTCTTGTAGTTCTTAATTATTTTTTTGGCTTTACAGTGCTGTTTTTAATCTTCTAATCCTCCTTCCAACATAATTTTTGTCATTGATTACTGTTAATACAAAATCAATTTTCGTTTTGATTCCAAATTTATCTTCATTAACATGTTGCTCTATTCACTCTCGAATTAATTGATACATAAGAATCTTTATCCTTCAATCTGAATTTCTTTTATTATATGAATCGGTTGAGATTTTATGGTCACCATTATATAGCAAACTTCTGGGTTCTGAGACTCCTAGGAATTAACGCATGTTATATTAAATATTTTGCTTGATTAATGACAATATTTTTTAAAATAATTTAGTTTAGATATATTCATGATCTTTTAATTAAAAAGTAAATGATTTAGACAAGTAGACACCTAATCCCTACAATGAAGTCCAGTTTTCCCGTAGGCAACAGGGAAGCCGCGTACAAGCAATTCGGGCATAATGCCCAAATGGAGCAAGGACGCATCAATTTGGCCCTAACAAAATCACTGAACCCTACTCGCTTTACAAGGATTTGCTCATCTATATATATTATACAGATGTGATTTGCGCTTTACTAGTCTGCTTGAAGAATTTTAGAACATGGTTCTTTAAAGTTCCTGTAACAGCAGTAGCCTTGATCTCTCTTTTTGTCAAGAATGGAGGATTTATTTGGAAATTGGAGTTAAACAGCCACCGGCCATATTGCTTGTGTTTTTGGCCACGCCTCTGCTTCCCTTCTGTTGATCCTTCAGGACTTCAACTACATTGACCCTTTCCTTCCGTCTTGTGGCATATTGGCCTGAGCGGTTTCATCGGCACAGAGCAGATTTGACTGAAAGCTCTCTTGAGTTTGCATCAACAAAAGCAATTTTTTTCCATCTAATTCTAGAATCCTTGACATGCTGTTTCCAAGAAAATTGTTCTTTCCTCGACAGAACTGTTCTAATTCTTCTGGGACAGAAATTTACAGCACATAAAAGTGAAGTCCTCAAAGAAAAAGGTCATTTGATATTTGAAGTTGAAGGGGTCTTGATTTGACCACCATTTCTGATGATATACCTCCATGTTCTTCATTAATTATATTATTTCATAATAAATGCATTACAATTAGATATTTTCTTTTAAATTGAAAAATATCTTCTTAATGACAGACAAACTCTTGATGCATGTATAATCTTCTTTTGCTTGGAAACTAATTAATTCAACCTTTATTATTCAATACACGTACTGTCAATATCATTTTCACGCGTCACGAGTAGGATTAATGTATTTATATATAATTTTTTTTAAAAAAATATTAATATCTAAAAAGATAAAATAAAAATAAACTCACCTACTATATAATCCAATGCGTCAATAATTATGCTTATTTTCGAAAATTTACCACATGGACAACAAAAAAAACAAAGTCAAAACAAGTTCTCTTTGAAAGAACACTCGACAAGGAAAAAGATAACGTGGCTCATGGAAATTCTGTCTTCCATGCAAATTTTTTCAAACCTTGATTCCAGGGTCATGATGTTTCGATCAGCCCTTAGTACACGCATATGTTGAATTTATAGAGAGAAAATCCAACAGGGGCTTGATAATAACTCTACTCTTAATTAAATGATCTTGAAATCAATGCAAGAAATTCCTCAAAACAGTTATATATACCTATATTACTCAGAAAAATGGTGCTTTCAACAAGGGATAGCCACTAGAAATTCAAGATAGATGTTTATTTATTGAAAATTTTCTCTAGAAAACTTTTGAACAAGACATGGAGAAAACGAGGTATATTAAACCATTCACTCCTCGCCCCATGTGAGACGGCAATGACTTTAAGCCTCTCAGTAAACAGTGTCTAGAGAATAAGACTTTTGTCCTTCCCGTATAAATGAACATCGCTTGATCTTCTCTCACCGTTACACCTCCAAACCAAGCTTGATCACAGCAACCATATCTCTTCTTTGAATCCTGTGTAAAAATGCACACCAGTTTTGATGGGAAGGTAGATGTAGAGTTTGATTTCTGGGGTGCAAGTGAAACCCAATATTACAGTAATGATAGAGGTGCTAGTGAAGTAGAGTTTCAAGCACTGGTTGAAGAAGACTTTGTTGATTACTCACTACCCTTATGGAAAGCAGATATGTCAAGAAACGTTAGAAATGAATCCTCTCCCTTACTTCCCCGTGGCCATCATTACAGTAATATTTCGCCGAGCTCTCGGCTACAAGTGATGGCAGAAGGTAGGAGGAAGCTCATGGAGATTATTCATAGCATGCCAGAATCTAGTTATGAACTGTCTTTAAAGGATATTGTTGATGAGCAGCAGATTTCTGAAGGGGCACAGGACGAGATGCCGAAGCAAAGGACGACTTCTGATTTCAAGTCCGAGGCTCAAATCATCAAGAAACAGAAGACGAAGAAAACAAAGAGTTTCAGCAAGTCGGGTAATATTTCAAGAAGTAGAAGCATGGAAAAGGAAAATTTCTTGATCAAGATGTTCATTCCAACATCTCTCAGTTTCAAGATCAGAGACAACAAAAGAAATGGCTCAAAAGTTCTTCCAAGGTCATCGATGGAACTAACCGATAACCGTGAAGATAAGAAGTGGTGGATCAAATGTAAGAACAGTGGAAAGAGCAGCAGCACAAGAACTAGTAGCAGCAGTGATAGCAGCACACGCACTAGTAGCAGCGATAGCAGCAAAAGCAGGTATTTCTTGGGTTCTCTTAACATTTGACCGATTTGCAATGGAAAATCCACCCTAGCAGAATCTATTTCCATATATTGAGAATCCCATCTTCTTTCTCTCTTTTACCACAGGGCATTTGATGGCTCAATCTAGATAACTTTTGATTCTTCAGACTGTTAAATCAGAGTGCTAACGGATTTTGGGTTTCTTGCTGAGATTATGCAGGTATGACAATATGGAGGCCTTGCCAAGTTGCTGGCCTTTTTTCCGCACTAAGAAAACCAGAAGGACAAGACTCGAAGGACACATCTTCTAAACTGGGGATGCAATGCGATGTTTTTTGTAATGGTGTCCGTATTAGCCTCAGAATAAGATAAATTATTCTGAGATAGTGAGATTGTTCTTCAAAGAACACATCAGAACATAATTTTTAAAGAGTCAAGGGGTTTCACTGCCAGAAGATTGAATTCACTAAAACGTGTTTGCAGATAGTAAGCAACAGCACAAGCAGACATCAACTTATCTCTTACAAATTACTCTCTAGTCTCGTAGATATGTACCGCCCTTTTATATAAAATCCCTCCCCTAGATTGTACTCAGGAAGGTTGCCCTTCTAGATTATCATGTATTGCCACCTTGTTGTTCTTTGATGCTTTTTGATAGCTCACCTGATTTTAACAGTTGTTCTTTAGAATTTGGATACTTTTTGATATTTCACCAGATTTTGACAGGTGTGTTTCTGACCCAAAAGTAACAAGAACAGCAACTTACTTGGAAATAGAAAAGGCCATATTGCTGATGTTTAAGGTCACGTCAGCTCAATCACCATTTTGTATAAACAAGAGGTTACAAGAATATCCATTCATGTCCACAAAATACCAAATAGTAAAATACAAATTTGATTTACATGTCCACAAAATACCAAATAGTAAAATATTTCGACACTTCATTTCCTAATTAGTTACAAATCTGATATACATTTGTTGCCTACTAAGTAAGGCTAAGATATTACTCCTTGTCCTTAAACTGTCTCCTCCTCTTGGTATATTATATGCCAATCACAATCCTAATCTCAAATCTTTAATTGTAGTACATATTGAAACATCACAATCCTAATCTCAAATCTTTAATTGCAGTACATATTGAAACGAACTGTCAGATTGTTTCTTTTGTGTCGCACTCGACATCACGGCGGCCTTAAAAATATAATGAAATGGAAAGAATGGATTTCTATTTTTCTTTCTCTCTAGTATTTCTCTCAATCTCTTCACTCATAATTGCATAAGCTTATCTATCTATTTATACACGACATC